GAGCGCCGCTGCACTCCCAAGCGGTGCACTGTAGCAGTGCGCCACCGGGCCGGCCCTCTTTGCTTAATTTTTTATTGTATCTTTTCTCCTCTTGAATGTAAGCTCTGTGAAGCCAGGGATCTAGGTCTGTATTATTTTTCTTAATGTTTACCTTAACCAAAGCCTCATTTGTAGCATTTAGACTTCCAAGAAAATAATGGTGAATATTGGTTTCAAAATTTTAGACTTACCCAAATATAAATTTGCTTTCTAGATCTATGAACAACTTTAAAATATATATATATATCACTTTCCTTCAGTTTAACACTTAAAATGGGATACCTCTAGTGGATGAATATGGAATAATCCCGGCAGTAGCAACTCTTCCTTTAAGGCATCCATTAAAAAAAAAAAAAATGTAACCCCTTTCTTTCAGACCTATTAAGCCATGAAAACGCAGCAACTCTGAATGATGTAAAGACACTGGTCCAGCAGCTATACACAACACTATGCATTGAACAGCACCAGTTAAGCAAGGAAAGAGAGCTTATTGAAAGATTAGAGGATCTCAAAGAGCAACTGGCTCCCCTGGAAAAGGTGAAAATTCACATATCAGACTTTTCTCTTCACCTGTATTTTTTCCAGTGCATATTTGTTTCTTTTTTTTCTTCTAAGTTTTATGCAGTTAAGTCATGTCAATCAAATTAGTCTGCTAGTTCATGAGACTGAACCATAAAAAAGTTCCAATTAAAGCTAAGAAAGGATTTTAAAAGGAGTAGTTTGGAGCCTTGATAATGCAGTTAGAGCTTTTAGGTCTATATGTGCAGCCCTTAACCAGATGTATCACCTTTAAAACAGACTGGGATAATTGCTAATCAGGAAACCTTCTGTATTTAGTGGATAATGATTTTAGCCAAGTTGAGAATGAATATTATACGGAATATTATGCAGCTATTAAAAATTATTATATACATCGAACTTGCCTAGAAAATATTCATGATATATTATGGAAAGTAAATTATAAAACAGTGTGCATACTGTGGTCTCATTTTTAAATGAGTCTGTCATATAGTGATTCACAAAAAAATCAGAAGGAATATATTCCAAAATGCTACTAGAGTAGTAGAATTGTGATGGGTTTTTCTTCTTTACACTTCTCTAAATGTTTTATAATGAATATATTTTACCCTTCTTATTTTATGATGATGCAAGTATTTCTATTTTAAGAACTTAGATGACATGGATTAAGGAAGGGAGAAAATACTCTTAATATTGTGCTTTTTCTGATTTCTTAAAAATAATTATTATCATTTATTGAGTATTTACTATGTGCCATGAATTGTACTAAGTATATTACCTGTATAGTTGCCCCTTGGTATCTACAGGGGGTTGGTTGCAATATTCCCAGGGATACTAAAATACATGAATGTTTATGTCCCTTATATAAAGTGGGGTAGTACAGTAGACCCTGTGTATCCACGGGTTCTGCATCCATGGATTCAACCAACCGTGGATTGAAGATATTAGAAAAAATAAAAATACTGGCCCTGCACCCCGAGAGCCTGACCCAGCCACTGAGGGTGCCAGCGTGGGACTCCAGCAAGCCTGGGGCCCGCCCCCCCCCCCCCCCCCCCC